GGGGCGGGGTACCAGTATCCGGTCATGGGAGACAGGAAGAGTGGCAGCATCCGGTTAGTCGAGAGAGGAAGAGTACCAGCATCATAGTTGGACAGAGTCTAAATATATAGACACATTCAATAATCCATTTGTTTGAAGAGGAGAAATGTATCGACAAACGGATACGACGCGTTGTTGACAATCATTGATGACTGTTATATTATTTGCTGGTATCGTATTTTATATATATAATCAGTAGTGTATGGAAACTATGGAACTCATTAATCAATACTTATATATGGATTTTTTAGGATGAATGTAGACAATATGTGACATATAATATGTAGTCGTCAACCTGTTATATTAACGATGAAATATTCTAATAACTGCCACGTCTACATTATAGATTCCTACTGAATACCAGTTGTTCGTGTAATTATATCCAGATGGTTTTTATTTTCAAATGGAATCCGACCCAGATAATCAAGGTTATAAAGAGTGAAAACACTTGCCCATAGTACTTTCTGAGTGAATTATTTGAGCTCTGAACAGGGTCAAACGCTGGTGATTGGGTGTGCGGTTCGTGTTCACGCACGCACGGAATGCAACTAGAAAGGAAGGTACATTGAATACATAAAACCTAGTTGCAGCGCAACACATCTCAGCATGCTGTTGAAATTGGGCGAGGGATGGGTTACAGACCAGTGGTGGCATTCACCGGAAGTAATGTAGTGGATGCTGCTCCCGACGATAAAGACAGTCCCATGATGCCTTTGTTTATCCTTTTACAAAGAGAAATATAAAAGTATAAACCTGTATGGAATCCACTCAATTCACCATGCTGATTAAGCATGTAATCTAATGCGGCAGCACTGATGATCATATAGTGTAGCTTTTGTTTTATCAATACAGTATCGGCACGTCGTCTACCTTTCTAACTGTAGTCCAAACTTATTGACTATCAATCTCTCCCATTGTTTGATCTTAATCTGTAGGTCAGTTATAACTATTGATGGGAATACATTAACATATCACCATATTACATGTTTAAACTCCAACGTTTCCAAGGTTCCTGTCACGTGTTTGTACCAGAATTCGCCTGGAATATCTACACACATATATAACTCTGTCTGTACCTTATGTTGCTGTAAGCTGACGACAACGGCGTCAACAGAAACCGCAATGTTATGATTACATTAAGTGTTTCCATGAAGTCGTGTTTTAATAAATAATATAAAAGCTTACCCACCATGTTTGAACGTAACAAACACCAACTGGTTGTTAACAACACCGTCATGATCTGGACGCTGTTGAAAAATGTTGAGCAATTTCGTTGATGGTTCTCTAATTTAGGAAATTGTTCAGATAATTATAATAAACAACATTTTGACTGTCAATTATTAGCCGTGATTGAGTAGCTGAAAAATGTCGTCGTACTGACTCATGTGTCATCTATTGTTTGTATGGTCCATTGATTAGTAGATTAGGAAGCCTTCATGCGCTGCAAGTGCCAGATACGTTAGAGCCAATCACAATTTTCAGTGCAGAGGGGTATAAACAGGGCAGACGCCATCTAGATTGGCATAAGGGTGTCTTAATGGCTATGAAGGTAAATAACATACAGGCTCTTCAAAATTAAAATGAGATGTCCAATAAGTTCGTGAACAGTAATTACGTAAATAGAAAAAAATAGGATTGTTACAGTCCGGGTCCACTAACATAGGTTTTATAGCTTACAGTAGGACTCGTAAGACATGCGTCAATGAACATTGGAGATATAGTTGTAAACTGACGGGTCCACGAGGAGCCATGTCCATCAATTTGCACCTTAGTTGTCATCATTGGCAGCAACATTTAACGGGGATACAACATTTGCCGTGAGGTGGGAATTGATCATATCTCGGAGCTTCAGTACAGTCTGTTCGGAACATGACGCAGATATCAATCAAATTAATTTAGATTTTGTTCGGAACACAACTTTGACATTGACCAAAACAATAAAGACTGGTTGGCCTGTTGTGGGGTTTTAACTTTCCACTAGGCTTCGTTTCAAAAATACAAAGTATCAAAGAGCGCAGTCTAGCGGATAGAAATGGTACTAAGACAGGTAATCCAGTCCAAATGAATATAGAGTATGATCCGAACATAGTAAAGAGAGCGATAAGATTAAGATAATAGTAGGATTAAAATAATAAATAATCAAATGCGAAATTAGTTTTGCGCCCTTCTTATAGAAAGAAATCGGTAAAGTGCTATGGCTAAATTACATTTAAAACCACAGCAGATGGGAAGACAAAATATTCAAAGCAATGCACAGTAAATTAGTCAATTGTGAAACCTTCTAAGTTTATTTTTGGGTAGGTGTTGGAACATGTCGTTAGCATTGATCAGAGAAATGAAGAACGCATCGTACACGTCGACTCGGAAATTGTCGTAAACAGCTGGGCCGACTCTACTCAGAGCGTATATACTTAAACGTCTCTGTGCTATTGGTAAAGAGTCTGTCAGGAACATGTCATAGACATCTACTACGATCTCCTCCACGGCTGCCCAAAATGGGCGCGATAGTACGACCTTCGTCGCTATTTGAAGGACACAGGTTATGGAGTGACTGATGTATGTATAATCGGTCTGTCTGCTGTATATATTGACATTTACATCTGTGTCCCTTAGAAAGTAGACCGCTAATGTCAAAGTATCCACGTACTTCTCGTGTACCGAAAATAACTTTACGGCTTTACTTCTTTATTTGGTTTTTGAATCAATAAATGACATGAAAGCACTTTTAAATCCTTTTGTCTTAATAATGGCCACGTCACAAGACAGCATACAGTGTCTGTTTGTACGCTCAGCAGTCCATTGTTACAGACACAAGCGTGGTCTGACTTTGGTTCCGATAAAAGCCGGCCATCATAAGATACATTAACTCCTCCAAAAATGAGTTGTCTAGCATGAGGCACAAAGTCAGTCCGTCAATGAGTGTAATCTATTATAAGATATGGTGTCGCCATCTTTTTTAACAGACCCATAAACGAGCGCTCGGTCCCATGCGCGGCATGCCAATAATAGTGTGAAAGCAGTGCTCAGGTGTCTGTCGGGGTAAGTACAAATATGTATATGTGAGATTTCATTTGGAAAGCATGCCTTTCACGTTTTTCCTACATATTAGCCCATGGTATTTGTTCGTTTTTATCTCTGAAAAATAATCAGTGCCAATATCATGGATTACAGGCATCTTTCTGTATTCACACTTCACGTGATGTCGATTTTCCTCGTTCTATCTTCATCAAAACCATCAGCAGACTGAATTGATTAAATTTGATATGGCTTGATTTCGACGTCCCATTACCCCTGAAATATATTTCGTAAAAAGCTTGAGGGGAATCTTCACGCCATTTCCTAATTCAGCTCCTGAAAAAAGAAGAGATTTTACGTCATGCAACATTTTTTCAAGCAAATCGCTCACAAAACCACGACAAGCCCATTACACGTGGAGCGGGTCTTGTAAAGCTGTGCTGAAACCCCGCTGAAGCCGTTGTTAGAGGGCCTCCAGTTCGCGGGAAACAGTGGTAGCGTAACTTGATCCAAGAGAGCGAGACATTGGAAGGTCAGGGATGGTGAGAAGTGACCTGGTCTGGGTGGAGCTAAAACTGAAAACAAATCAAACTAACCGATTGTACTTTTTGTAAATCTAAAGCATTGAAAACAAGGTAAATCACATTCCAATGAAACGCTAAACAACCAAAACGGAAACCAATGAAAGAAATGTTTGAATTTCTACGAGGCTTTCTACGCAAAAAAATCATAAGGGTCACGGCACACATATCACACTTCACACAAACCATAGCATACTGACAGTAAGCGTCCGTTTTACAAAGATCGAGATTTAGTAATCTACAATTCAACCAAGTAGAAGAGAGGTTTAACATGGTTGAGAATTATAGACAAGTCTGCCCCTCTCGAGATTGAGAGAAATCAAAATTATTAGGCCGACCAGATCATGGAGGGATTAAACAAAGTCGACATATATAATCTAGTCTGGTCTTAATAAACCAACAGTCCTACCAGGTTCCGATAGACAAGACAAGATCGTGAAGATCATGAAGTTAGTTAGTCTTAAAAAGTCAACAGAGGTTAAATATATCCTACATAGGTACATATGTAACAAGAGAGATTGAACCATTCGCCAAACCAAGGTCTAAAGAGGTTGATCAAGGGTGATATGAACTAGTTATACAGACAAAGGTCAAGGAAAAAGTTAACCATCCGTCCTACTTAGATAGACAGAAACGAAACAATTCGTTCTACCAATTCATCTGTACAGCCACGGTCGAGAGGTAATTACGACTTAACGTCTCCCTGGAGCGGATGTAGAAAAGAAACACGACAGTACGAAACAGGAATTGAGAAATCTGCCACTGTCTGTAAGTGATCTAGAAATATGTAACAATATCTCACAAGGACGAGGTCGGTACCATCGCATTTGGTGTGAATTTATAGCCAAAACAATTAAACGACAGCACTGTTTTTAATGATAACAATGCAGTTAATAATAACACTGTTTAAATGATTTTGTTAATTTGTATAAGCTTGGTGGGTCGTTATTAAAACTGTTAAGTTGTTGTGTCCTGATACCAAGGTAGGTATTACTTGATGGCTTACTTGATGTGTATTTGGTTCTTTACTGAAGCTTCCGGTGATGCTGTGTGTTTGGTAGCTACATTGTAACTGATGATTCACGTAATTCTGTGTGTTTTGTAGTTAACTGATATTTCACGTAATTCTGTGTGTATGGTATTTAACTGATGTTTCACGTAATTCTGTGTGTATGGTATTTAACTGATATTTCACATAATTCTGTGTGTATGGTATTTAACTGACGTTTCTTGTAATGCTGTGTGTTTGGAATTTGTTTGGTAGTTAACTGACGTTTCATGTTATGCTGTTTGTTTGGTAGTTATGATGCTGATGATACTATGGTGATGGTGATGATGATGGTGATGATGTGCGAGTCAGTGTGAATGTGTCTATGTGAGTGTCTTTGTCTTATCTGTAATTGCCATAAGTTGCAAAACTTCAGCAAATCAAGAACTTAACATGTGTGTAATATTACGTGGTTGGTATTTAACTAATATCTCATGTAATACTATATGTTCGGTAGTTTTCTGGGTTATTTTACTGTTTTTTTCCCCGGTTATGCTCTGTTTGAAGGTTTACTGATGTTTCCAGGTTTTCCGAAAGCTCCGAGTGTAAATTGGAATAATTTACGTGGTTGGTATTTAACTAATATTTCATGTAATACTATATATTCGGTAGTTTTCTGGGTTATTTTACTGTTTTTTTCGGTTATGCTCTGTTTGAAGGTTTACTGATGTTTCCAGGTTTTCAGTAAAGCTCCGAGTGTAAATTTGAATAATTTACGTGGTTGGTATTTAACTAATATTTCATGTAATACTATATGTTCGGTAGTCTTCTGGGTTATTTTACTGGGTTTTTTTTCGGTTATATTCTGTTTGAAGGTTTACTGATGTTTCCAGGTTTTCAGTAGAGCTCCGAGTGTTAATTGTTCAGTATGTGCACGTCTTGTCCTTTTTACATAGACATGGTACAAAACATTAATCTGCTCAGAAAACGACAGGGTTTAGATTCGCTCTGGTGCTGATAGCTCCATCATAATTCTTCCCTTTTCAATAACAAGTATTTTCCTCGAGTGATAAATACACCCTATGTAAGTGAGAAGTGATGCTATGGAGTGGGATGCGATCAAATGTAACGAAAACGACTACTAGGTAACGCCGTGTTGTCACAACACATCTCAAATCAACATGTAATATTAATAGAACTGAGGATGACGTGTGTGTCCTATGTTTGGCGGGACGTGAGCTTCAGGCCAATCAATGCGGGTATGTAGTTAGCGGGTGGAGTATGTAGGACACACAAAGCAGGGATCTATAACGGCTTACCTCGGTTTTCCTTATAGCCTGCAATTAAAGCAAAGGTAGAAAAAAACACCAATAAAACATGCTTTTAAATCCCCCGCTGCCATCGCGGTGATGACAATCAAAACCAGAAATACTCACAACATGTATATCCCTTATTTATATATGTCCTTTACAACTATATTATTATTTACGTTTGTTTCAGTGGTGAGAACGACCACACTGTTAATGGTATGTAAGCCAGTTCGGTCTTTGTTTTATTTTACGAAGTTATTATCTGTAAGTACAAACATCTATAGTAATATGTAAGACGCCATTTCATTATCGTGTATTAAAAGATTAATTTTAATTAATTTGATTCTGTTTTCTTAAGTCGAAGTTGGAGTGTCGGAGTTTTATTTTTGCGTTAAGTAACACGGATCCGTGTCAAGCTTTTTTGCAGTGTGAATGTTATTTGTAACTTACAAATATGAGTACAATAAACCCAATCAACTGATTAGAATATTTTGACACAACGCGGGTTTAACGAACGTTACGTAGGTACTTGTAGGAACATGTATATCCGATCGCATTAAGCCGTTCGGATTACATTTTAGACAGAAGCGTATAAAATGTACCGCGGTCTCCAGGCAGTCATATATAACTAGTCTTTTATACAAATGTACAGTACCAACTCGCCTGTACTACATGACTCCTTTAATAATGTAGTTCAATCAGATGCGTGAACGATGACAGGACTTTGGAAAAATAAAAAATAATTCCTTTGTTTCTTAAAATCGATATTCATATGATACAATTTTTTCTCGACGACCCAGTACACTTGCAGCCGGCGCACTCGTCACGTTCCCTGCAGACTGTTCTAAACCGAAATAGTTTTTACTTTACAAGGATATTTGATAATGCTGTTCGGAAATATAACCCCTCTGCACTAATATATAATCATACTGCATCAGTATATAAATCAATGTAGTCATATATACGACTCTAAAAACAACAATACTGTGGTCTTGGGTGGAAATATAGCCATACTGCAGTCATATTTAACCATCCTGCATGGCTGTATAACAATACTGCGCGATATGTATTATAGAATTATATTGCATGGATACACCCCCCTGTTGCACTTATGTTTACAGCTAAACTTTATAGAGGTTATAAAGTATACAACTATACTACTCTCACATACAACCATGTCGTATGGATATGCACTCATACTGTTAATCCAGTTCAACTACGCTCTAGACAATATAATGGACGAATTCAATTGTGCACGAACCTGCGAATGTCTTAAAGAACAACTCTGACTGGTTGTGTAGTGATTAGACGATGTAAAGGAATTAGGCAGGAACATAACATACTTAAACGGTTGTCAGTCAATCAAAGCAACCCGAGAAATAGCAACTCGACTCGTTAACTGCTGATGTTTGACCACACAATATAGCTTGCCCGGAATGCAGACCAACACTGCCTCCAGTGAAAAAATGAAAACTCGACCATGACAGATTACATTAGCGCTAAGGTACATTACACGCTACTGTATCTGACCAGGAAAGATATCTGCATGTTTCGAAAAACGTGGTCATTCTGCCAAACCTTCCTGTTCAGTAAAGGTGAAGTGGTCGCCTGATATGCTCGTTACTCTTGAACGTTGCATTTTCTTCCAGCAATTCAACAAAGGTGAACATAATCGCCTTACACTGTAAATTATTCAACTTTAAATGCAAGCCTCTAGCTTGATCCAGTTTTTCATTGTTTTCTTCATTTCGCTTGACCAAACATGATCGAAATCTGTGATCTTGCTCTATAAACAAAAGGTATTTTAGTTAAAGTACGACGAACTGGTAGGTAGATAGGTAGGTAGATAGGTGACCAAAACCCATGATTGACAGTTGCCTTTATATTGTTCGTAAAATATTCCAAGGTGTTAGTAATGCCATATGATTTAGAAATATATGATGTAAATCGAAAACTCATATGATCATCTGTGCTGTATTCAGTCGAAGGAGGTGTTTCGAATTGCAAGCGCGATCATTTTAATTAGAAAAGGCCTAATCATTCTCATTTAACTAAGAACGTTGTTTATTTGACCGGAGCTCCTATAAATACTTCAATACTCGATGTGTTTGATATTTTCGTTATAAGGGGTACCGACTGCTTCCGGTGTTATTTTCCCCAGAAAAAAAACAAAAGGCGTGATAAATAGATTTCTTTTTGTTACGAAACTACTATCTCGCCCTAAACACTCACACATACCAAATTATCTACCTTTAAAGAGCAATATCACAAACATCGACCAATTTGAGAGAGAAAAGGCACTAATTTGGTTCAATTTGTGGTAAACATTTAAAGTTGGACCATGAAGTGTGTCGTTTTCTCCGTTTTGAAGTAACCCTTTTCAAAAACTGGGAAAAATTCAAATACTGAAAAAATGCGGAGTTCAAGAGCACTTACCAAGTCAGATGTCGATTTTCATCCTGTTACGAAAAACAGAAGGTTTCTGCAGCGAGATTTGCAGAACATTGTGTTCTTCGTATACATACTACCCATCGTCTGCGAACTTTGACGTTAAGACTTGTCTTATCTGATAATGACTGTCTACTTAACAAAGGAGCTGATATAAAGGTGTAAGAGTCTGGAGGGAACCTCGTATTTAATAAATTATAAATGGCGATCAACGCCTTTGGAAATAGCCTATAACGAGACTGGAATCGATACAGCGTTGGCGGACAGGTACCCTAGACCGATCTAGGGTAACTTCTACACGCCCAGCAGATCCTGGGCAATCGCAGTTCTCAACCTCTAGAAAGGTTTCTTATTGGAAGAACAACTTTTAGTACAATATCGAATTCAGCTTCTTAGTGTGAACGATGCAGAAGGATATCTATCAAAGCGATCTGAATAGCAAAGGCTCTTGATGACTACATATAGGTCGTCCCCTTTTAAAAGTATACATGCACTGATCCTACACTTCAGTTAATGTTGCGCGATTTAAAAATGTATCTTGCTTTGTGATACAGAGAGCCTGGTATACAAACGTATCTAGCTTATTTGAAAAGAAGTTAGCCTAGAATAGGAATGCATCTGGCCAATGTGAAACATAGCGCTGAGTACACGGGTGTATCTGGTCCATGATATACAGAGCGCCTATTGTAAGTGTACGCGTAGCTAAAAAATAATGTCTGTTTGACTGTCTGTTTAAACAAGAACATGTATTTAGCTCCTGACAACATCGATCGTGTATTTCAACTAGAATCGGAGGAATCGATGGGGCTGATACAGATTTTTTAAAAACCGAATTGATGCAATTTGTTAGTCACGTTTTACATCTGAAAGAATCGTGAATAATCATTGCAGATACAAGCAAATTTAAATATGTGCCTCTAAATGATTGTTTGCATGAAATGTGCAAATTTGTTTGTAACGCGATTTTGTGAAGTGCTTTATGACACGATAATCTGTCGAAGGAACCCCTTCCATTACTCCGTGCATCAGAGAAGACCAACCCTGGTACAGAATGTACGTGTTACGGACTTGTTACTGAAACGTAGACTCACTATAACATTTAGATATATTTTCTAAGTAATGGTATTCGGCTAGATTTATTTATTACATTAGTAATGGTATTCCGCTAGATTCATTTTGTTGGATTCCTGTGATATTTATTTACATTTACTACAGCATCCTGCTATACTCATTTTTGAACATGTGTATCTATACTATTTATGTCGATTTACTACGGCATTAAACTAATTTTTCAATCGTCGTCATGACATTCTACTAGATTTATTCTGATGCATTGTTATACTGTAATGTTTAACTACATTTATTTATTTCTCTATTTGTTTTTCGGTACTTTTTAAAATTCATTTTGTCTTATAGATTTGCCGTGGCATTCAACTAGAAATATTTTGTAGATTCGCTTTGGTATTAAATTAAATTTAGTTTTGTAGTTTGCTACGATATTTAACAAGATATATTAATTGTAGATTTGCTATATCCACGAAAATTGTTATACATATTTATGTTAGCTATATTCTATCCTGACATCGGCGCGACAATGTAGAGTTTATCTTAATAAAGATGGTGTTTCCCTACGATAGCAGAGACTAGTTTGTTGGCGGGTGCCAACTTTTTGGCAATACAACATCTCACGCATTTCGCCCCGACCATAAAAATAAAAATCTCAAAGTCACAATAGCAATTTAAGAAATTTGTATTCGCTGAGAGAATAACAACTTACCTATGCCGATTTCCACCTCAGAAGAAGTCTTGTTCTTCCTGCACCAGCAACCCTTGTCGACGGCGAAGGACACAAGAATGAGCGTTGGGAACATGAGGAATGTGAGGATAGCTTCCCATAGTTCAACTTCTCCGGGGCTGCTAAACATGAGAACCACAATCATCCACAGGTACGCGAACATGCTGAAAGACGTGGTCACTGCGTAAACACCCATATTGCTGATCCTGCGTACTTGTCCGTTTGGAATACTCACTATACACATTGCAGTAATGGCAAACAGATTAAATGCAGCAGATCCCACAATAGTACCGGGTCCAAGTTCTCCTGCCTTGAAGCCTTTCCCACAGATTTCTATCACTGACAACAGAATCTCTGGAGCACTGGTGCCGAATGCCATAAGACTTAGGTTGGCCACCGTGTCATTCCATACTTTGACTTCCACCTCCCGGACACCTCCCTTACTGTCTGGGTCGGGGATCTGGATTACACGAGTTTTACTGGTGATTTTTTCTATGCCACACATAAAGGTATCTGCTACAATGGCTATTCCTAGAAAACACCATAACATACCAAGAAGGTACAGAAATGCACGTGCACCGATGCTCCATGTGTACTCGTTGATCGCCGGAAGTATCAACCCTTCCCCGGAACACTCGTATGTATTCAGGTCTATCGTAGAGTTCATTATTATTTCCTTAGTGACTTTTCGTCATATCTAAAATAAAAATAAAGAACACAACGTAAGTAAATATTTAGTTTCTATTTTCACTTATTGCGCTACAGATTGACAAAAATATAGATCAAACTGCGGCGTTCTCGTCGGACCGCGGCATTGTCAGTGGTATAGGAGAAATGAAAGATATGTCCCCACCCGTTTCCCAAGAGAACTTTCTGTGACGAATTTTATCCAACTTGATAGACACTGGACAGACGCGAACAGTTGTGACATCTGCAAAACAATGACTTGGAGGAGCTTGTTATTTGTGATTTGGGTTGTTGCAATATTACTCAGTAACTATATTTCTAAGAAGTTACCGTTCCAAAGAATAAACAGGTACGCGGTTGGCTAACTTCAAACAGTCATACATTCAGGTACAATATACCACGAATTACTCGACTTATCAGAACAGCGCGAAGTGCCGCAAACATTCCTAAAATGTCTGGTCCTGATACTGTCTTATGCAAACTGATCTCTGCCTGATACTGTATATCACAATTATATCACTCTATTATTTTCGATAACTTAATTAATATTTTCCGTGATCATTCGTATTTACTGCAAGAACAATACATGCTACATTTATATCTGTCTCAACGATAATCAAAATGGTTGTGTTTAAGCGAAAACTAACAACTTACCAAATCAAGTGATACTTGTAAGATACGTTGTATGCTATATTAACTGATGGTTCCTGTCCAGAATCTATTGATTGTTCACGATATAATTCATTTTAATAGAGTAAGTTTGTTTGAGATAGAGTATCAATCTTAAGCCATGTCTGATAATCTATTTCACACAACTTGCGTCATGTCACTTCCCACATTGAAATTATCAAATCAATTAAGTACTGATTAGAAGTGATTTTATAAACCTTCTTTAGTGTATTATATATATGATTTTCAGTCAAGGTTCGCAATGATAATGTTACACAATTCAGGGTTATGTATGTACACGTACTAAGCTATGTATTGTTATTTCTAGATGGCTTAGTACCCTCTGCACATACCCACCTGGAATGACGTACCATTGTGTACATACAGAACCATAATTTAGGTCTGGGTCGAGCGGTCTCGGGTATACTCTTATAATTCAGGAATGTTACATAACAACCATGGAAGGTTCAATGAAATAGCTATCAATACAAACACAGATGGGAGTTGTACTTAATATATTTTCATTACATATAAAGAATGCATTATTTAATGTAAGTATAATGTGCATTTAAGCGTAAATATTTTAAGATGATTAAAATCTTCACATGTTTATTTAGCCTCGCCCAAGTTAATAATATTATTTACGAGTAATCCCACAGCTTATCCACAGTGAACTAATGCGCAAGTCTACTCGTTGATGCATCTTCTTACTCATGTTTTATACCTTCATCAAACAACGATCTATCACGTCAGTAAAACAAAGCAGCGAGCAGACAGCAACTGAGCTGCTTAGCAAACACCTGGCTATCTCTAGCTCGAATTATTGAGATTATGTTGCAAAAGAACAGGTACAACAGGTGCGAATCAATATTATTTGACGGGCTTTTGAGGAAAAAGCCAATTACCTGATATAGGGCTTTGCCTAATGATAGGGAATAGTCTAGTGACGGATGTTAACATCCCGGAAACTTTCATTCATAAAACCTATTTACACACTAATCACGTAAATACCCTGTTGTACTTGGATGTTTGAATATATAATTGAGTCAATCACAAAAAGGAATGGTCCTCGCGAGATGGACCCGTACTGTATCTGTTGCAACAGGAGACATTAATTAATAACATATTATACTGATCAGGGGCGACGATGAAATTTAATTCAATATGAATGTATATTATGCTATTTTCTTTCTTTTTATGAAAAGACGATTTGAAATCGTTTTAACATATTCTTCTGAATGATATAGTTGCAATTTGAAAAGAAAAACATTTTAGATTCACGGCGTTTTTAACTGATGTCTCTAAGGGACCAATGGACACGACACATACACAGGGACCTGATAATTGCTACAGCTATATTTGGACCTAAACTAAGGTGTTCAGAGTAATTTTACATGTTTTAGGGGTTTAGATCGACTTTCGGTAACAATGACACCCAATGGTTATATATACGAAAAGGGTGGAAAGCTCCTGATGTTGAAAAGTCGACCCCACCTATTTTGTTTGTATCAAAAACAACATTTCTAGCTGATGTATGAGAAAATGCTTAGTACCATTGAACAGATGGATAATTTTTCTTTTAAAAACCTTCTATTTGCACGTAAAATGTTTTCTCCTTCCACGGACATGATCTCCGTTTCCTCCAAAAACACACGCGATTTCAGAGTTTTTCGCAGTTATCGAGCCTTTTTTTGTATATTAATAAGGTTGACGTCAGCCATGCGCCAAGACCCGTGGTATGATTGGCTGAAAGCGCAGCCAATTTTTCGCTGAAATTACCAGCCAACCAACACTGCACGTTTCGGTACGAGCCTGGCGTCAGCCTCATTAATTTACAAAAAGTGGATCGATGACTGCGAACTGTTTTTAAACTCTGAAATGGCGTGTTTTTTTGCGGGAAACAGAGGTCATGTCCGCGGAAGGAGAATACATTTTTTCCTGCGAACAGGAGGTTTGTAAGTGAAAAAATTCCCTCATCTAGAAATGTTGTTTTTATGCAAGAAAGTTAGCTGGGGTCGACATTTCGACAACGACAGCTTTTCACTTTCTCGTATATTTACCCATTGGGGTGTCATTTTTACCGAAAGTCTATCTAAATCCATTAAACATGTACAATTACTCTGAACACCTCGGATTTGGTCCAAATATTGCTGTAACAAATTATCAGGTCCCTGTGGACACTTTGCTTCCTCTGATTGAAATTGCTTACAATAGTCGTTTAAATCGACATTAATTTTTTTACCTACTTGACTAGTTTTAATGACCAAAATTGCTTATGCCTGTATTATCTTGCATTAATGCTTTTAAACATACTAAATGCACTTAACATATTATTATATCAAACATTCGACATACAGTAGCAATATGCTGAATGATTAGCATTTCAAAGTGTTTCCTATACGCATAACTCTCACAATACCAATTATTCAAAAGGTATTGAGGTGAGTGATACATATTTAACGATCTATCTATCCTACCGCCAATGCCACGTTACAGTTCTGCGAATGCGTGTGATACCAGTAAAGACTAGGGCGCAGTCTGTGGTTTTCTTGTATCACAGACCGCCTGCATGTCGAGTTAGGCCATTCCGATCATATATCAGTAAACAGCGTGTTGCTGCTACTGCTGCACGCAAAAATATGGACGATAACCAAACCGCATTGAAGTCAAACAAATCAACACCACAGCGATATCGTCAAAGCGTACACGGTCAGGCTGTTTAGCGAAGAAAGATCGAAACGATCGCAGGTTATATTTTTAAAACAATGCAGCGATCACACCTATGCTATATTTGTTATTGGTTTATCGATATTGCCTTATGCACTCTTACGAATGAAAACCCATTCCCGAGAAGCTTATCAAGGGCTCACACATCACAATTAAACACTTCTTTCACAACACACTCTTTTGATTTTTGTCGCTTATTGTTCATCAAATCGATACCACAATGGAAGTTTATTCCAGTCACTTAACTTTGCTATATATTTGTCAGGTTTCAATGTCAACACAATTATATTAAAATGCATTGTCGTTCACCATTTTGATTTTAAATATTCGCTGGAAATAAGGAAGAGTAACATTGCCTATCTGGGCCAAGATGATACATTGCTGTTGTAAATTACTGTAAATCACTGGGATTCCGCTGGGATATATAATAAATCTCCCTTTTAATGTTATAATATATATATATAGTTCACTTTACAAAGTGTCTGGATAAATAATCTACAGACGTAAAACAAACGCTTTCTGAAACATTCTTCCTTGTACTCTCGAAAAGATGACAGTATAGTTACACCATTACTTCGATATAAGGTCCTTCGTTTTGGTTGTAACTTGGAATAGCACTAACATTTCTCAGTGTTCCTGAATTTTTTATCCCCAACCATTGCTTGTAACTATATCAAAACCCATTTGTAACGTCGTTCATGAAAAACAAAGCAGCAACATAACCAGGTTTTATTTTATCAGCAGCTTTGTGGTACATTCATGTACAAAATTGATTCACCACAAATGTTACAACATTTGTTCTTGATCAATTGGAGTATGAATATTGACTCCCGGGTGATGGGCAATTGATGTCACAGATGTGTTGCGTTCAGTGTCTCACCTAGTTCCGGCCGATGACTATCGTTATAGCAATCAATGATTAACTATGTATGCACATTTAAACCATGAGAGGTTTCAATTGCATGAATTATTTATGTATACTTTCATATCCACTGAAGCATGTGGATCTCATACAATTTTCTACAACAGAGTTAAACAACCTCAATAGGATTGTTATTGTAAGGAAAGCATACTAGTATCATTAACCACAAATATTTCCCATAATGATAACCTCAATTGAACTAATGTAGATCTATATCTAGGTCCAAAATGATAACCTACACACAAATATTCATCAAACTGGTAACCTATCACAAGCTGAATTTAACAAACGTATTACACCTTTAAATCATTAAAGCAAATCTTTATGACAATGATAATATAAGTATTTACCACAATTATGACCTGAATTAGACACAAGTTGTTACACGTTTTAAACTTTAAACAGATAATAACAACAATGATAGCCTAAGCACATTGTACTATATGGTAAACTAACCACAATAATAGCCTAATAAAATAAACATAGGTATTTAGCAAAACGATAACTTCAACCGCATAGGAAAATCTACATATATATTTGCCTAGTAATCGAATCCTAAACAGAATACATCACAACGGAATCAAACCACACATAGGGCATTACAATGCATTTAAAATACTACACAACCCCTAAATTTTTTAGAATCAGTGAATCTTAAAAGGGCTTCCCTAATCATTTCGGAAAATCTCCCA